CGAGGCCAGGGAGGACGTAGAGGAGCTTTTCGCTTATGGGAAGAAATTTGCGGAGCGTGGTGGGGCACGGTTTAAAACATCCGAGGCTATGTGGAATTACATGGGCAAGAAGGCGGGCCAACATGTTCACAAATACAAGGGCCAGAACATATACTGCAACACGGACTCCAAGTACAGGGACCCGACATCGGAGGATGCAAAACGTGAGCGGGCGGTCCGGAAGGTGGTGAGGACGATCATCGAGGTCAACGGGGGCAATGGGGCTACGGTGAAAACCAACATCGACACCAATTACCTCAAGGGCATTGTGTGGTTCAAAGATGAGCGGGTGGCAGCATGGGTAGATGGCAAGATGGATTTGGTTGGGGCGGGTATTGCCTGGAAGGACCATTTCGAAAAGCTCTACGCCACAGAGTAGGAGGAGGAGAACGTGGAGGTGGAGGTAGGGACAGGGGGGTCCCAGGGAGGAGGCAGAGGAGCATATGCCAATGTGCGGGGACGCACCGGTGACGCTACTCCAACGCGCTGGAAGGATGAAGCTTGGGACTCTTGGCCAGGCTGACGCTTCAGAGAGCGGGAGGGGGATGGGTCATGGCGACATACCAGTACATGATTGTTTCGTTACTCTTTCATGGAATGCGCGTGGTATGGAGGAGGGGTGCATACAGGATGTTGCTGATATGCTCGACGAGGGTCCGGCGTGGGATATTCTTCTATACTAGGAGGGGCCTCGCGCGGAGCATCCAACGGAAAAGGTTTTGGGATCAGGTCACCTGTGGTTTTCTTCGAAGGAGGCCTCCACTAAGAGAAGCGTGGGCGTTTTATTGCACAAGCGTTGGGTACAGCAGGGTGCTGAAACACGTTTTAATGCCCCTACGGCTACGCTATGTTACGTCGATGTCGATTTGCCCGGTACGTGTATTCGTTTTGTGTCTTCCCACTTGCGCCATTCCCGAGCTACGGAAGAGGAGTTCGAGGAGGGCTTGGCTGAATTGGAGAAAGCCGTATTCGGCGCACGTGGGGCGGGGAGGAGGGTAGTGACAGGCATTAGCGCGAACGCAGTGCTTGGGAAACGACAAGCATACGACGACCCCCAGGTAATAGGACCTTTTGGGCACGGGGGCAGGAATGAGCGAGGGCATCTATTCAGTCATTGGTTACATGGTGTTCGTTGTATTTCAGCGGCAGGTTTGTTTGAACGGGAATGGGAAAACACATGGACGCACAAACTATGGAGCACTGGGGAATTGCGACAAATCGATTATTTGCTAGTCGACTCTGCGCACGCCGAGCTTGTACAGGACGTGGGTGTTTGGAGACAGTTGGAGGGCAAATCTGATCATAGGGCGATCTTCGCTGAAGTAGCGTGCAAATACACACCACCACAGAGAGCAGTACGGGAACGAAGGATGAGGGGATGGGCGCCGGAGCTGGATGACGACGGCAACCCGACCAATTACCACGACTTGCTGACGAAGGCCCTCTCAGAAGGACACTCCGACCTTACAGATGTGAACGGTTTGGTGGTGACGGCCGCGCGGACAAGTCGTTCCTGCAACAGCAGCCCTCCACGTGTCCAGTCCGAGGAGGTGCAGCAGTTGTTCTCCGAAAGGCGGGCGGCGACGTGCCCGGCAACGCGGCAGGAGCTTTCGAAGAAACTTTGGAGGGCTTTGCGACGACAGCGACGGGTACGACAGGGAAGGGAAATTGATGATTTGGCAGAGAAGGGCAAAGGCATCCGAGCATTGCAAAGAGTACAGCAGAGACATGGGGGCACTGAAAGGATCGCAGCAGTCACAGACAGCGAAGGGGTGCGAGTTACAGACAGTGGAGGGATCGCTGATGCATTTGCTGATTTTTACGAGGCTCTGTACAAGGACACTCGCGCGGAGGACTTGGAGGAGCAGGAGTTGGATGGCATAGTACCCCGGATGACCGTAGGAGAGCTCACAACCGGCCTATGCACGATGAAAAAAGGACGAACTTGCGCAGACGACGGCCTGGTGTCCGAGATGCTACAGACAGGACACACCGAGCTTCTGGAGACTATTGCGGAATACTTCTCTGATATTATTTCGGGGCGCATGGAGCCTCCACAGGAATGGAAAACTGCCCGCTTGTCAGTGATATTTAAGAAAGGAGAGCGCTCGGAGCTCAAAAACTATAGGCCGATCTCCATTAGACCTGTCATGGCAAAGTTATCCAGCACTGTTTTATATTTCCGTATACAAGCAGCTGTGGAGAACAGGTTTCAAGAGGAGCAATATGGTTTCCGCACTGGGCGTGGTTGCGATGACGCGGTGCACGTGCTGCGCATGGTGGTTGAAAAATCTGCCGAATGGGGAGAAGATCTATGGTTGGCGGCGCTGGACGTGGAGAAGGCGTTTGACAAGGTGCATCACGACGAGTTGTTCGATTCTCTGCTGTCTTCCAACATTGACGTCTCTGTCGTGAAGGTCCTGCGAAAGCTTTACCGGGGCATGGAGGCGCACGCACAGCTGTGGCCAGGCGTGGAGAGTCGACGATTTCAAGTTCAACGCGGCGTGCGTCAGGGCGACCCGCTCTCGCCGGTATTGTTCAACCTCGTGATGGCGCAGGTGTTGGCAGAAGCGCAGGCAACGTGGCAACGAAGAGGATACGGCACAGAAGTCGGGCGGGGATTGGACGGCAAGCGGCTTACCCACGTCGCCTTCGCAGACGATGTTACTTTGGTGGCGCGGTCTTGGCTTTCGCTCAGGAGGATGGTGTTGGAGCTACGACGTCTGCTGCTGCTTCGTGGTTTGCGCTTACACCCCCGTAAATGCAAAGCACAGACGAATATCCCGGCATGGACGAGAAGGGGGGACGTTGTTTTAGAAGATGGCTTTTCTCTGCAAGTATTAGAGGAGTCAGAGTGCCTGGAGGTGCTAGGCACATCGGTGTCACTCACAGACCCAACCAAGCCTGAGATCGATCACCGGCTGGCAGTGGGGTGGCGAAAGTTCTGGGCTTTGAAGCGCCGGTTGCTCAACGCGAATGTCTCGGTCAACAAACGCCTGCGCCTGTTTGACGCCACGGTGGGCAGCGCAGTACTCTATGGATCTCATTCCTGGACGCCGCGAGTGGAGGAAACGCAGCGGTTGCGAACAGTTCAAAACAACATGCTCCGGCGGATCCTAGGCTGCAGGCGCGCCCCCGACGCGCCTTGGATCGAGTGGCTTCAACGCGCAACATGGAAAGCTCGTGCGAAAGCGCGGGAGGCTGGAGTGAGAGACTGGGTCGAAGAGCACGCCCGGAAGAAATGGCTGTGGGCAGGGCACGCTGCCAGAAGGAGTATGTCAACTTGGGTCCGCAAGGTCACAGAATGGCGTGACTCTGACTGGACAACATCGGTAGCAGACTGCGCATGGCGCACGCGACGTCCATCGAGAAGAAGGTGGATGAAATGGGAAGATACTGTTCGGCGTTTTACCGCTGACAACGACATCGGTTCGTGGACAAAGCAGGCACTGGACCGGGATTGGTGGGCATCCAGAGTCGAGAAGTTCGTCACGTGGTTCATGAAGCAATGAGGCGGCACGCGCTGAGCGGCGCCCCTCGCGGGCCCCTTCGGGGACGCAGCCACTTCCACTTCCACTTCCACTTCTCATTGCCCTTCTAATGCATAGCCTGCGCAAGCTCCTGCTCCAGACTTGTTCCTCCCTCCTTCCTCCTCTTCCTCCTCCTCCTCCTCTTCCCCTTCCTCCTCCTCTTCCCCTTCCTCCTCCTCCTCATCCTCCTCCTCCTTTTCCTCCTCCTCCCCCCTGGGAGGGACATGAATACTTCGGAGGTGGGGAACATAACCAGGGATTGGGAAGGGGAACGGGGAGTGGGGGAGAGGAACGCAGCAGCAGAGGAGGATTGGAGCTGGACTGGAGGGAGCAGCGCCCCATCTGCCCAGGCCATCCTACTCCCGCCCCCCTCTCCCGCCTCGTCCTTTCCCCCCTCCCTCCTCCATTCTGACTCTGTTTGGCTCATCTGCGAAAACATCCTCGACTTCGACATGCCGACGTGATCGTTTTCTTATTCATTGGTTTGCCGATCGGCGCGGGCCTTCGTCCCCCCCTCCCCCCCCCCACCGCATGGAGTAGATCTTGACTGTTTTGGGCGCCTGTCTCCAGCAGGTGGAGTCTCCCCCACAGGACGCACTGTTGCAAACAGTCGCGTTGAGCAGAGGTCCAGAGCCACATGCCCCCCCCTTTCGCTCAACGCCGAAATGCCGAGTGAGAAGACGTTCGCGACACACCATCATCCTCCCCCCTTCCCTCCTTCTCCCCTGGTCTTCTGACGAACGAACAACACACACCCATACCCATAGGGGGGTCGTTGGGAGCAGGACTGGCTATGGGTATGGGTGCGGGTTGTCAGACCCTGGGGAACGCTCCCGCTCGAACGGGGACCCCCATCCGACAACACGCACCCATAGCCCTCTCCGACCACGCTATGGGTATGGGTGTGTGTTTTTGGTTCGTCGTCTTCCGACTCTCCCCCGTCTCCCCCTCCGATCCGTGCCCGATCTTGCGATGGGCCCCGCCCGAGCCACTGCGAGATCGGGCACGGATCAGAACCCAAGCCGACGTTGCGCGCGCGTCTCCCCATCTCCTCTTCCTCCTCCTTTCCTCCTCCTCCTCCTCCTCCTCCTCCTCCTCCTCCTCCTCCTCCTCCTCCTCCTCCTCCTCCTCCTCCTCCTCCTCCTCCTCCTCCTCCTCCTCCTCTCCCCCCTCCTCCTCCTCCTCCTCCTCCTCCTCCTCCTCCTCCTCCTCATCCTCCTCCTCCTCCTCCTCCTCCTCCTCCTCTTCCTCATTATTTCCTCCTCCTCCTCCTCCTCGTCCTCCTCCTCCTCCTACCCCTACTCCTACTCCTCTTCCTCATCCTCCCAGGCCACGCTCCACCTTCGCCTCCTCCTCCTCCTCCTCCTCCTCCCTCCTCCTCCTCCTCCTCCTCCTCCTCATCATCATCATCATCATCATCATCACCTACTCCCCGCCCGCCCGCAGCAGCTGGACCGGGAGCAGTGCCCCATCTGCTTGGGTCCGCTCGAGGACGTGGTGGAGCTTTCGTGTGCCCGCCTCGGAAGCCGCCGCGGCCACTTTCGTGGGGGGGGGCTCGTCGTCGTCGCCGCCGACGACGACGATGATGAGGAGCAAGAGGGGCGGATATACAAGGAGGAAGAATGAGAGGACGACGGGAGTCAGGCGGAGGAGGAGTGCTGAGGGCATCGCGTGGTGCGGTGTAACGCAGGGAAGGGATTGGGATTGTTGGGCACCTCGAGTTCGAGGAGCTCGAGCGTAAGACTAATGCTTGCGTATGTCAGCCAACGCATGTCTCACCAGAGGAGCAGTGCTTCAAAATTTGGGATGGGCTGCGGCAAGATTTTTTCACGCTGGTGCAGAAGCAGGAAGAGGGAACCTTGTGGATTTCCAGGTTGACACCAGAGTTCCGTACACTCTTGAAGACCAGATTGAACGAATCGGTGTGCGGTCACCAGGGCCCAGAATTGATCCTGAATTGTTGGCCGACCCAGACCGGTCCAAAGAGTTGCCGAGTGAGATGGTGTGGGTAGGCCATCACATTCTCTGGCTGAAGCACACAGCTGCCCCCGCGGAAGAATTGGTCAATCATTTGTAGTAGCGTTGGGCATGGGCGCAATATTGCCCAACCCACTCGCTCACGGTGAAGCTCGTAGCCGTGGAGCGCCGATTAATGGATGGAGGAGTTGAGCAGGGTAAGTTGTCCAGGGACAGACGACTTGAAAAGATATCCATTCTCTCCTCGTCGTCTTCCAAGGTCCTCATCCAATTTGGCTGCAGCGCAATCATGTTTATCTATATTTGATAGTATTGCATGGCTATCCTCTTCTCCCTCCCTCCACCCTCTCCCTCCGCCTCCTTCCTCCCCCCTCCTCTCTCTTCGCTCCTCGCTCGTCCTCCTCCTTTTCATGCCACATGCGCCTGTCCGCTCTCCCTCCACTCTCCTCCTCACTCCTCTTCCCTCCTCGTCCTCCCCCAACATCCACATTTCACATAGTCTGCTCGAGCCTGCCTCAAATGAGGCGGCTCCATGCGCGCACACACACACACACACACACACACCCACGCACGCACGCACGCACACACATACACACACAGCCATACACACACACACACACACACACACACACACACACACACACGCACGCACGCACACACACAAACACACACACACACACACACACACGCACGCACACACACGCACGCACACACACACACACACACACACATACACACACACACACACGCACACACACACACACACACACACACACACACGCACACGCACACGCACACGCACACGCACACGCACACGCACACGCACACGCACACGCACACGCACACGCACACACACACACACACACACACACACGCACGCACGCACGCACGCACGCACGCACGCACACACACACACACACACACACACACACACACACACACACGCACGCACGCACGCACGCACGCACGCACACACACACACACACACACACACACTTGTTAGGCGTGGCGGCCAGGCGCGCAGCAACACGGCGGAGTCAGGAAAAACGGCCGAAAGCGGAAGTGGGCGCCGCGGAGAAGCGTTTGCGCATTTCTAGGCAAGCGTTTTTCCCCCCAGCAGTTTGGTGAGAACACCGCATCGATTATTAAGGCGGGTGCGCTTGGCTCAATTATCACCTGGCGTTACAGATTGGGTGTCTGGATGAATGTAGACGCGTGCAGAGAAACGCGAGACCGCGAATGCACACGGAAAATCCAAGGGAGGCAATGCAGGCGCCGAAGCGGAAGGAACCAATAGGCACAAATTACAGGAGGAGTACAGGTCTGCACGATGCTCGCTCTCCCGAAGCCCACCTCAGGGTGCGACGCGAACGCGGTCGGTGCAGCACTGACGCAAGCGCCCGTGAGTGGCCAGCAGCCTAGCTCTAGGGGCGTAGCGGCTCGAGCGCGAGGGGCCCGCGGCTGAAAACCGATGCACGAGGAGCAGGTCAGCTCCGAGACGCCTCCACGCAGCCCACGTACAGGCGCGACGCTGCTGCACGCACGCGCACACACGGCGGGCCGAGCTGAGGGCGCCGTCCGAGCGATGGCGCTGCTGGCGCGAGGCGGGGCCCGCAGGAGGCGCTCCCACCCCCGCGGCGGAGGGGCCACCCCGTGCGCCTGGCGGCATCGGGGCCGCGCCGGGCGGCGCGCCTTCTGTTACCAGCCTGGAACATATCCCTATCCCTATGCTGGGCACCTCCTGATCACGATGCCAATCTAAGGGATTCCCTTATTTTTTGAGGGCGAATCCCCTCGAGGCGCTCTCACCCCCGCGGCGGAGGGGCCACCCCGTGCGCCTGGCGGCATCGGGGCCGCGCCGGGCGGCGCGCCTCCTGGCCAGCGGCGCGGCCTGCGGCGCTCCGCCCGGCGCCCGGCTGCTGCAGCGGCCCTGGGGAGGCCACTTGACATCGCTCGGACGTGTGCATTCCTCCTTCGGCGAGGGCCATCGAGGAGCATCCTTGATCATTTGGCGAAAAACCGCGCACGAAACCGAAAAAAACACAGGGAATGGACGTCCGAGCGATGCCAGGACCAGGGGCGGGGAGCCGGCCGACCTGGGCGAGAAGCGCGGCTCGGGGGCAAAAGGTTGTGCCACCGCACGGCGTGGTCGCCGCACCGTCCTCGGGAGCCTCGGGCCCCTTTCCTGCCGCCCTCCTCCTCCTCCTCCTCCTCCTCGGCCGGCGGGGAGACCCCTCGCCGTGCCGCACTGCCGAGGGCCGCCGCGCACTCTTCGGCCCGGGAGCGCGGGGGGCCTGAGCCCGTGCCCAGCGGAGGCGCTGCCGGCGCCGAGGCCGCCGCCCGGCTGCCTCGCCCTCGGCCATGTCCACACACGCCAGGGGCAACGTCGGGGGGGGGGGGCAGGCGCAGGGGGGCATGCATAGGCCCCCAGTCGTCCAATGATCGCCGCTGGGGGCCCGAGAGCCCGCCCGGCCCAGGAGTGTGCGCGCTCGCCAGCGGGGGGCCATCGCCGATCTATCCGCGGTGGACGAGGGCCAGGAGCTGGAAGGCACCGCTGCGGCCGCGGAGGAGGTTCTGGCGGAGACTCTCGGGAGCGTGCTGGCGCATGTTCTGGCGGAGGTTCTCCAGAACGCGCATGATGGCGACTCGCAGGAAACCGACGCGAAGACCACGAATTGAAGGCAGGCGATTTGGACGAGTTGCAGGAAAAGTCGATGAAGGATGGACTGAGAATCTAGTGGCTCATCGGGCACACCTCTGGGCAGCATATGACATAGCCCCTGCGCTACCACGCCTCAGGGTCGGAGAAAGAGATGGCCTGCCTGCAAGAACACGTCGCCAGGACGAAGGACGACCAGCAATACATGTACTTTGTCTTTCGATGGGAGCGTCGAGGCAATGTCGGCCTCGCCCTTCGAACAAATCGATCGCTATAGCTGGAGGTACAGTATCTGACTGGGCCCTCTCTCGTGCGACAGCTGACCGAGTCTCCAACCCCATTTCCGTGAATTGAGCCTTAGAATTGTGGTTCCAGTTCGAAGCAGTACAATTCCAAATCCTTTACAATTGCAGCTGCAGCAGCAAGCAAAAGATTTGCCATGTCATACACGGAGCACAGGGGCAACTCAAGGAGGTGCCAGGGAGGCATAGGACGTCTGATGTTGCGCGAGCGCATCCAGCTTGCCCGCCGAGAGCTGCATGATTGAGGCACCCCCGCTTTTATCGTCTATGCTAGCTTCCAGCTCCGGCCTCGGAGCTTGGAACCTCCCCCAGGGGGGCGGGGGGGGAGGAAGAGGAGGAGGAGGAGGAGGAGAAAGGGAGGGAGGAGGAGGAGGGGGAGGAGGAGGAGGAGGAGGAGGAGGAGGAGGAAGAGGAGGAGGAGGAGGAAGGGGAGGAGGAGGAAGGGGAGGTCTCCGGGCGCCATGTGCAGGTCTCTAGAGACGCCCCGCCCGAGGCTGCTGGAGGTTCCGGGAACCCGCAGAGGGCCACAAGCCGATTGTCTTTAACCTTCTTGTGGGACAAGCCACGGGCCTTGATAATCGTAAGGCCAGCTGCCATCCGTCGGGGGCGGAAAAGAGGGGGCTGATGACTAGGGGGGGGTGGATATCATGGCGGGGGCCATGATATTTCCCCTGATTTCATGGCGCCTCTTCTTGTTTCATTACGTCCCTGGCCCCCCCGCTGGGCCGCGCACATGCCGCCGGTCATGATTTGCACCCCCCCCTCTTGGACACCCCCCTCTTGGCCGCTCCCGAATCCGCGCACAGGGGTCTCCCTGAGCGGTGACACCCATCGTGGCCACGGGCATCTGCGCTTTCCCTTTCCAATCCGTGGCTCCCTCGTTTCCTCGGCGGAGTACGCCAGGCTTCGGTGACCTCCTCCTCTAGCCGAGAGGCGGCCCGCGTGTCGCGGCGCCATGGGGATTCCAGAGCCCCGGGGCAGCCCCTCGGTGCACGGGCTGGGCAGGTGCAGCCCCCGACGGGCTGAGCCTCGAGCTTTGTTGCCCTGGCGGGGCTGCACGTTCAGAGGCCAGTTCCGACCCGACCTCCTCCTCCTCCATTGTAGTCATATCCCGTGTCTCCCTCTTCCGCGTCGTCCTCGTGTTTGTCCTCGTCGGCGGCGTCCTCGTCGGCGTCGTTGACCTCGTCGTGGTCCTTGTCGTCGGCGCCACCGTCGTCCTCGTTGTACTCGTCGTAGTCGACGTCGTCGTCCCCCTCGCCGTCGTCCCCGTCCTCGTCCTCGTCGCCGTCCCCTGTGAGGTAGCCACCGCTTCTGCTGGAAGTGCTTCGTGCTGGGCCCCATCGCGCCGCGTCCCCAGCGGCCCGAGCTCTGCACCCCGTCCGTTCGGCGCCCTTGCCCTCTCTCGTCCCTCCTCGACCAATCGAGCAACAGCACACGCATACTCCAGATTTCGTAATAAAGGGAGGGGGGTCTCATTTCGGGGGGGGTCTCTTCCAGGCTATCTTGGAGGGCCTGGGGGGGTCTGGGGACGATGTTTTGGAGGGTTCTCCCACGGGGGGGGTCTGAAATGGATTGTCTTGGAGGGTCCAGACCCCCTCCCTTTTATTATGAAATCTGGGGTACACCGAAACTGTAAGAGGTGGTCGCACGGATTTCTGGGCTCAGCGCTGGACCCCCCTTTGGGCGGCACCTGCGGCGCCGCCCCTGGCGCTCTTCGCGCGCTGAGGAATGGGGGCCCGGTGCTGACCCCTGAAATTTGCGCGGATCTCCGAAAGTGTCTGTTTATGTTGTTGTCGAATCTTGTATGACCGAGTTCCCAGGATCGAGCCAGACGTGCAGAGAAACCGATCTTGGGCCCAGGATGGGCCTGGCCAGGATCGGTATGGGTGTACGGCGTTCTACCTCTCCCTCCCCTCCTCCCCCCTCCCCCACGCCGCCCCCCTTCCCTTAATACCCTGTCGCGACGCGACAAAATACGACAGATGGCTATTGGCAGCTTCTGGCCTCCGAGGGCCATTGCCAGGCCCTGGGGCTCTCAAAACCAGCTCAGGATGGAAGGCCGGCTCCCGCGGAGGGATGGGGTGGGGGGGGGCAGGATCAAGGGGGGACGACAGAGGGTCGGGGGGGAAGGAAGGAGGCTCGAGCCTCCTCCCATCGAGGAGAGGAGGATAAGGAGGAGAAGCAGACCCACCACTCCGAGAGGAGTCTGAATGGCAAAATTATCCCAATGCGACCCTACCTAGGAGTTGGAGCATCTAGGAAAGCAACATCTACGTCTACACCGACAGCTGTATTAACATCTACACCTGCATATACGCTATGCTAGGCTATGCTATGGCATGCTATACTGCGCTATGCTATGCTATGCTATGCTGCGCTATGATGTGCTATGGTATGATATGCTTTGGTGTGATGGTATATGCTATGATATGCTGCGATGCGCAATGCTAAACAATGCTATGATATGATATGATATGTTATGCTGCGCTATGGCATGCTATGCTATGCTGTGCTGTGCTGTGCTGTGCTATGATATGCGTGGCTATGCTGTGATGTGCTAATGCTGCGCTGCGCTATGCTGCGCTAAGCTAAGGCAAGCTAAGCTATGATAAGCCAAGCAAAGCTAAGCTAGGCTAGGCTATACTAAGCTAAGCTAAGCTAAGCTAAACCAAGCCAAGCTAGGCTAGGCTAGGCTAGGCTAGGCTAGGCAAAGCTATGCTAAGCTAAGCTAAGATGAGATTAGCTAAGCTAAGCTAGGCTTAGCTTAGCTTAGCTAAGCTAAGCTAAGCTGGGTGAACCCAGGGGGCGCAACTGGGGGAATCGCGGGGCGGATGCCGAGGGAACCGCCCAGGGCGAGCCCCACTGCCTGGCCCTTTGAGCTTAGCGAGTAAGAACCCTTCTAGGCAGAGCCTAGGTAGGGAATTCACTACAAAGCATGGCGAGGGCATCGGAGGGGAGCAGGAGGGGTAGAAACAGGGAGGAGCAGAGGAGGAATTGGACCAGCAAGAAGGATGGGGGATGCCCCCCTCTCCCTCTTGCGGGTCCTCCTCCCCAATCTCCTGCTTTTCCCTCGTCCTCCTCCACCTCCTGCCCTTTTTTCCGATCTTCTTCCTGCTCATTCTCCTCCCTTTCTTCTGCCTCCTTGTCTTCGCCCTCCTCCCTCCTCCTCCTCCTCCTCCTCCTCCTCCTCCTCCTCCTCCTCCTCCTCGTCATTCTCCATATTCCTCCTGTCTCATCCTCGCGTTCATCCTCGGCCTCATTCTAACATCGCCCCTCCCCCCACCCGTCGCAGGAAGAAGGGGCGCGGGGGCGCGGGTCGAGGGCTTCTGACGAGCTCGCACGCAGCCCGATATGTTGTGCCCCCCCTCACCTTCCTGCATGCATCGTGCACCGCCGTCCGTTTCCCCTTCGCTCTCTCTCTCTCTCTCTCTCTCTATCTCTCTCTCTCTCTCTCTTTGTCTCATCTTGCATCGTGCATCGTGTACCCACCTCGATAAGCTCCCTCTCCACACTGCGCAGCATGCGTCCCCCCCGTCGTGTACTCCTCCCCCCCTCCTTCCTTACCGTTCGTGCACCTCCGTTCGCACCCTGCCCCTCGGCTACACGAGGCGGGTCGTATACGAAACAGGCCAGCCAGCAGGTGCCCCACGGAAATTTCTTGCCCACCGAAGGCCCCGGGGACTCTGCGATGTCGTCGGTTCGGGCAGTTCACAGATGCACGAACAGTGCGCCGTACAGCCAAGTGGCTTCTCATATGTGCCTGGCTTGTGCTGATAGCTGCCACACGTATAGCACTCGCAGTCTTCATGGTATCGTTTGACTCGCAATCTCGTGAGTTTGCTTCCCTCCTTCCTCTCCGCACCGACACACCGCATCCAAGCAACATGTGAGTGTCCCGTTGCAGCCGTCTTGCCCCGTGTCGCCTTGGCGCATCGCCTTCGCGGCTTCTGGAAGGGAAAGGCCACGCAGGAAGCAGAGTGGGAGGATCGGGGGTTGAGGGGGAGGGGGAGGAGGATTTAGGGGGAAGGGGCTCGAGCCACATCCCCTCGACCATCGAGGGGAGGATGAGGAGGAGGAGGAGGAGCAAAAAGAGGAGGAGGACAAGGGGACCATCGAGCTTTGCGGGTATGCTGCTCCTTAGTGGATTCGGAGATAAGGACGAGCAGGATCGCCTGAGGTTGCCTCGCGCCTTCTAGTTTCGGGATGGACGGCAAGGTCCGCCTCTCTGCCCACCCGCATCGGCAGTTCGAGGCTGGCCTTACCAAGCGTGTTTGCACGAGTCTGTCGTCATCGCGGTCACCGTCATCGCCGTCGTCGATCGTCGGTCGACATCGAAGCGTGTCGCGGTGGATCTGGCAGTTTCGGTCCCCCCCTTTCTAGATTACTCGAATTGCACAGCGCACCACATGACGAGGATACAGAATGGCCACTACTCCCGACGAGCGTCGTGCTACGAAAGCTTCGCAACTCGGGGCATCCAAGGAGCTTGCAACACAAACGTTTGGGCGTTCAACGGAGAGGACCGCACGGCGCATCTCGTGAGCGCGGGGCGAGCGGCAAGGAGAACGACGAGCGCCCAACGCGTTGTTGTCCCGATGGTCTTATCGCTGGCTAGGGTTGCCTCACCAAGGCATCAGCCTGGGGAGTACCGCATCACCCAGTGTCCCATCTGCCGCAAGGACACCGCGGAGCCGCTGCAGGACCGACAGTTCTCAGCCACGAGTGCGTCCGAAAAGTTTGACGATGACCGCAGAGTGGCATCAGCGTGGCATCAACAATGTCAGTTGGACAGTATTTCGACCGTCAGTGGCTGGGTGAACGAGATGGAGATCCTCGTGCGCTTGACATGCCCCCACCCCCGCCCAGGGCTGTCCTGGTACGGTTATTGCAAAACTCGTGCAGGGAATTCAAAAAACTAGACGGGCATGCCCGGCATGCCCGGCTTCAGTCTCGCGGACCTATTCTAAAATCATAGTTTGAAAATTCTTTGTGTTGTTTCATGCCTTGCCGTCATCGCGCGAGTGATAGTCGAAAACCTAGTTTCAAAAATGGTCACGGCTATCTCCCCCCACCTCCTCTTCCTCCTCTCCCTTCTCCTCCTGCTCCTCCTCCTCCTCCTCCTCCTCCTCCTCCTCCTCCTCCTCCTCCTCCTCCCCCTGGCAGAGGTTGCAAAGCGAGAAAGTTGGAGAAATGTTTGGGGGAAGATCAGCGGGAAAATCTGAGAGAGGAAGATCTGGGGAAAGATCTGGCGGAAGATCTGGCGGAAGATTTGGCGAAAGATCTGGCGAAAGATTTGACGGAAGATCTGGCGGAAGATCAGGCGGACAATTTGGAAGATAAATTTGGTGGAAGATTGAGAGGAAGATATGGCGGAAGATTGAGAGGAAGATTTGCCGCAAGAGTTGGCGGAAGATTTGTGGGAAGATCTCGCGGGAGATTCGGAGGATCAATCTGGCGGAACATACATATAACGGAAGATTTGGCGGAAGATCTCGCGGGAGATTTGGAGGATCAATTTGGGAGAAGATTTGGCGGATGATTTGGAGGAAGATTTGGCGGAAGATGTGGCGGAAAATTTGGCGGAATATTTGAAGGATAAATTTTGCGGAAGATTTGGCGGAAGATTTGGAATATGAATTTGGCGGAATATGTCGCAGAAGATCTAGCGGAAGTTCTGGTGTGAGATCTGGAGGAAGATATGACGGAAGATTTGGAGGAAGATTTGGAGGAGAAAATTGGCGGAAGATTTGGCGGAAGCTCCAGGGGAAGTTCTGGAGGAATATTTGGCGAAAGAATTGGAGGAGGAGGAGGAGGAGGAGGTGTAGCAGGACGAGGAGGAGGACGGAGTGGAGAAGGAAGAGGAGGAGGAGGAGGAGGAGGAGGAGGCGGTGGAAGAGCAGGAGCCCCCAGCTCTTCATCCAGATCCCCGGGGGGGGGGCCAGGTCGGGGGAGGTCCGGGATCGGGGGGTGGTCCTCCTCCACCGCCTCCTCCTCTTCTTTTTCCCCTCCCTCCTCCTCCTCCTCGTCCTGCTACGCCTCGTCTTTCTCCAGAACTTCCGCCAAATATTCCTCCAAATCTTCCGCCAGATCTTCCGCCAGTTTTATCCTCCAGATTTTCCGCAGGATCTTTCGCCAGATCTTCCTCCAGATCTTCCGTCAGATCTTTCGCCAGATCTTACGCCAGATCTTACGCCAGATCTTCAGCCAGATTTGCATTCCAGATCTTCCGCCAGATCTTCCACTAGATTCTCCGCCAGATCTGTCCTCCAGATCTTCCGCCTGACCTTCCTCCAGATCTTCCGCCAGATCTTCCTCAAGATCTTCCTTTCAGATCTTCCGCTAGATTTTCCGCGGGATCTTTCGTCATATCTTCCACCATATTTTCCTCCAGATATTCCGCCAAATCTTTCTCCAGATCTTACGCGAGATCTTCCGCCAGATCTTCCACTAGATCTTCCGCGAGATCTTCCGGCAGATCTTCCGCCAGATTTTCCTCCAGAGTTATATTCCACATCTTCCGCCAGATCTTCCGCCAGTTTCATCATCCAGATCTTCCGCCAGATCTTCCGCAAGATCTTCCACCATATCTTCCGCCAGATCTTCCAGCAGATCAGCTAGATGTTCCGCGAGATCTTCCGCCAGATCTTCCGCCAGATGTTCTTCCAGATTCTCCGCCAGATCTTCCGCTATACCTTCCTCCATATTGATTTTCTAAATTTTCTGAGATCTTCCGCCAGATCTTCCGCCGGATCTTCCGCCAGATTTTCCGCCAGATCTTCCTCAAGATCTCCCGCCAGATCTTCCGACAGATCCTCCGCCAGATTTATCCTCCAGATTTTACGCGGGATCTTCCGCCAGATTTCCCGCTAGATTTTCCGTCCGATCTTTCGCCAGATCTTCCGCCAGATTTTCCGCCAGATTTTCCTCCCTCAGATATTTCCGCAACTATTCCCGAAACATTCCTCCAGAGTTATCGCTTTGCAACTGCGTCAAGTCTTCCTTTTGACATTCCCCAGATCCCTCGACTGATTTGTCCCAGATCTTCCTCCTGCTGTTCCAGGGTGTTCCTTGTTTTTTTTCATGCCGCGTCGCGGGTCCGCTTCTTGTTTTTTTTAATTCCTAGTTTTGTTGTTTGCCTTGTTTCGGGGTTGCAATCTCTACGGGACAACCTAGAATGTTAAACCCCTTGTGTTCAACATTCCCTGTTTTTTTAACTCCCTGTATTGAATGGGTGGTAAGCTAGCGTTCTGAGTGGGTGCCTGGTGGTGCATGACCGTGGACCAGTCATTGGGCTCTCAGGTTGGAGGCTCCTGCAGGGCAGCTGAGTTGGACTGCAAGTAGGGAGGGGGCAGAAGGAAGGATGAGGAGGAGGAGGAGGAGGGATGATGCCGACGAGAAGCACCATACTAATCAGATAGAACAGCATCAGCACCAGCATCAACAATTGCCGAAACAGGAGCAGGAACAGTATAATAGTACGTCGAGGAGTTGGAGGAGAACATTGAGAAAGCTCGATCCCATGGATCATATCTCACCAGTTGTCCTCATTGAGGGAACATGTAGACGCTTCGACTTGTGCACTTCGGCCCCACATTCCCGGCATCCATTGAAGGCAGCGGCGCGCAGGGGATGCGTGGAGGGGAATAGGGGAGGAGGCGGGGGAGGAGTCTGGAGAGGAGGGGGTCGGGATAAGATCGGAGGAGGGCCCGCTTAGGTATCGGCGGCCTCCCTGCCCCTCCCTCTTGCTTCTCCTCTCCCCTCTTCCGTCCATCCGTCCTCCTCTTCATCATCATGGTCTTCCCAACGGCCCTCTTCGTCATCATGTTCTTCCCAACGGGAGGAACATGGAGCAGGACGTGGGGGCTGGATGCGGACGAATGGAGGAATGACAGGAGGACGGGAAAGCGGAGGAGGGGGAGGAGGAGGAGGAGGAGGAGGAGGAGGAGGAGGAGGAGGAGGAGGAGGAGGAGGAGGGACGGACCACAATGCAGCCCGTCCCTTGTGCGGGTGGGGAAGAGGGTGCGGGAGCATGGAGGAGGACGGGCGCAGTGGGCGTGGGGAGGGGAGGGGGGGGGCGAAGAGCAGGAGGGGGAGAACGAAAAGAGGACCAAGCTAGGTGAGCTCTCGCCACACCTGGCACCCTACCCTCCCACCCATCCCTTCCCACGGCATTGAACCCTTTTTCTATCTGCCGACTAGGGCGTTCTAGAGGACCTCCACGATCGAATGGCAGTTGCAGGATTTGACTTTGACCCATCGGTTGCGGCGCAATCGGAAAAGGGGGGTCCTATCCTAAAGAGGTGGAGCTGGAGGCGGAGGGGTACAGTCGGGGCCCTGAAGAAGGAACCCTTTTCGTTGGGGAGGGGCTCGGTGTTCCTTGATTGTTCTGCAATGTGCCTTTTGTTTTCCTGAGGTGTTCCATGGCAAATCGAAGTTCAACTCATGGGAGAAAGGGGCCCCGTTCCTCACTTAGGGTGCCTCAGGTCAACGCCCCGACTGTATGAGGAGGATCACGGAGGAGCAGGACCGGGATGAGCAGGAGGCTCGGCGGAGCGAGGAGGGGAACAGAGAGGCTCGGCGGAGCGAGGAGGCTCGGCGGAGCGAGAGAGGAGCAGGAGGCTCGGAGGGGGCGAGGGGGCTCGAAGGAGCGAGGAGCAGGACCGGGACGAGCAGGGGGCTCGGCGGAGCGGGGCGACGGCGAGGGCCGAATCGGGTCCAGCAGTGCGGCCCGCGCTGCGGCGAGGGCGCAGTGCTGCAGGGAGGGGAAAACATACACACAGACACAATGAATTCGTCGATCCCCAGGAAAGTAGGGGAAAATATGGGAAGTGGGGGGGAAGACAGAAGCCCAGAAGATATGGGACAAAATATGGGGAATCATTTTATGTGTGTGTGTGTGTTTATGTGTGTGTCCTGGGGCCCCTTCAATCCGGAACGACGGGAGCAAGGCGCCGAGCCTGGAACGTGGCCAACGCTGCAGCGGCGGGAGCGCCACTGTTGAAGTCGACGTTTGGAGTCCACGCTCGACGCGGGGGAGGCGGGGACACCGCTGGACACTGCCACGGGAAGAGGGAGCGGTATGTATGCGGGAAAAGGGGGAGGGGAAGGGCAGGGGGAGGGGGGGGAACAGGAAGGGTGGGGGGAGTGGGGCCGTCCCTATTGGCCTCGCACTGAGAGCCGGGGGTCCTTCCGCCAGGAAGCCAGCGAGCACTTGGAGAAGACAGGGGAGGGGGGGGAGCAGCAGCAGCAGCAGGAGGAGGAGACGGAGGAAGAGGAGGAGGAGGAGGAGGAGGAGGAAGAGGAGGAGGAGCAGAGGGCGACGACGACGACGAGCAGCAGGTGCAGGAGGGGGAGGAGGAGGAGCAGGAGGAGGAGGAGGAGGGGGAGGAGGAGGAGGAGGAGGAGGAGGAGGAAGAGGAGGAGGAGGAGGAGGAGGGGGAGGGGGAGCGAGGAGCGAGGAGGAGCGAGGTGGCGGCCAGGCGGCGGCCAGGTGGCGAGGGGTGGTGACCCAGGGGAGGACGACGGGACGAAGTGACGGAGCCTGGCGGGGGGCCCTCGCCGCCGCCGCCGGCGTCGGCCGCACACGGCGAGGACCTGGAGGCCGACGGCGAGGGCGCGACACCGCACGCCGGCGTCGGGCCGTGCAGGCCGGGGAGGAGGGGGGCAGGCCACGGGGTGCAGCACAATCGTCGGCATGGACGAACCTCGACTAGACGTAAGAGGGACCTTTCGCCGGAGTGACCTTCGGTGTGGGCACAGATGGACCTTCAGATGGCTGAAAACGAAGCGGTAGCAGCGGCTTGCGCGCCCAGAGTTGGTCTCCCCGCGGCCCCAAAAAAGCCGCGCACCAAAGGTCACTCTTACCCAGGGTCACTCTTGCGTGTAGCCGAGAAACGGGCAGGGGATGGAAGAGGGGCATGGTTGCCTTGATGCGCTCGTGAAGAGGCGCAACACATGCCGCAGTCAAAACGGCCAGGTTACGCACGCTGCGTGCTGGCTCAGCGTGCCGGCGAGCGTGTGGCGCCGAAGGTGCGTTTTTAATGTGCGTGCTGAGCTCCTTGTCAACACGCTACGGGTTGCGCGTTGCGTGTCGCAGCGGCTCAGAGAAGGGAGGAGCGGGAGGGGCAGGAGAAGGCCAACTCGAGCAGGACCTGTCGCACAGCAGGGAGGGTTGGAGGCGCGTGCGGCGCGGTGAGGGCGCCAGGCTCGCAAAGCCCCTGACGCCGCCCGACGTGCATGTGCAACCAACGACGCCGACGACGCCGACGATGCCCGACCAACGACGGCCACAAAGGCGTGGAGCTCCGAGGCGGGCGAGGGCGCGGCGCCGCCGGCGCCGGATGCGCCCGCGCGCCAAGACGCTTTGGCAGGATGCGTTGTCGGTGTCGCCGCGGATGTTGTCTATATGAGACAAGAGGTCACCTGCCCAACAGCGGCCGCTGTTGTTCTTTCCATACCCATGGTTGGCGTGTGCAAGACGGGGCTCAGCCAGACCTCCCACGTCTCGAGAGATTCAGTGCGGAAGTTCTTCACAGTTTTCGGCCTCTGATTGCCGTCGCCGGGCCCTTTGGTTTCTAAATCGGTTGAGCCGGGTTTGCGCTGAGCTGGGTTAGTCCACGCCCGACGTCAGTTCGTCGAGAAAAGTGGAGACGGAGATCTGGAAACAGATCGAAAACTTGGCCCGAATGGACCCAGGGCGGGGTCCACGGGGTGATTTTGAACAGACCTTCACGTCCTTCGCCACCTCAGAGAAAGAAAACTTGAAGGTTCGCGCGGATTTCTTGGGCTAGCGCTGGGCCCGCCCTGGCGGCTTCTGGCGCTGCCCCTGGCGCGCTTGGCGCGCCAGTCGCGCAGATCTCCGATAGTTCTGCGCTGGAGTTTTTGCGTGCGAGGAAAGTGTGCCAGCAGCAACATGGTGCGAGAAGGTTGCCCAGTGGCAGCCCGCGCCGCCTTCTGTCTGAGCACAGGGTAGCAGCAGCAGCAGCAGCAGGAGTGGAGCCAAAGTCGGGAGCCCAATGCCATCATCCTCAGCTCTGGCTCTACAGCATGTGGGAAAAGCAGACAGCGGCAGCAAGCTGGGAGACGGTGGCGTAAGCCCACCGGTCTTTCGCCGTTTCTCGGGCTCCCTCGACCCCCCACCCCAGGGCCCCAAGGTCGTTGAAAAACGGCTCGGGAAGAAGGACCTGGCCACGGGGGGTAGATCCTGGGGCCCAGGGCCCAGGGCCCGCTTCCACCAGTACCCCCTACTCCCTCGTGCCAGCACGTTCTGCGTCGGGGGGCCGTCGCCGGGCCCCAGGACAGCCCAGGACCATCAAGCAGCGAGCTCGGGTGAGAAGCCAGGCCCGCGGGGTCCTCTGATCGCTGAGCACGACGCGATGGCAGCGGCGTGCAAGCCACGGGTTGCTCCCCCCGCGCCCTTCGAAAGCCTCGCAGCGCGGGCCACTCTTGCCCGGGCCGCTCCTGCGTGTCGTCTGGCCTCGGGGAAGACGGGGGGCCGCCGGGCGCGTCGGGGCGGCGCAGGCCGGAGAGCGAGCTCACGCGGTTCCTGCACACGTATTTCCCCCCGGACCGGCGGCGCGCGCGGGGGGGAGGGGGCGGCTCGAGGGGGGGGGGGGGGGCGGCCGTCTGAGGAGACAGCTCGGCGTCGCTCGGGCGTGTGCATGCGTTCTCGGTCGGGACCCTCGAGGAGCACCCTCGGCCGTCGGGCCAAGCAAGGCGCGCGCGGCACCGGAAAATGCACCGGGGATGGACGTCCGGGCGACGGCGAGGCAGAGGAGGAGAGGGAAGGGATGAGTCACGATGTCGGGATGTTTGAGAAGCGCTGCTGTAGTGACACACACGAGGGGTCGGACGCGGGGGGGGTCCTAGGCAGAGGCCCTGCCGCCTCCCGAGGAGCCCTCGCGGAAGGCCCAGGGAGACCCTTCTGCGAGGCCCAGAGGCCCCCGTTTCGGCGGTTCAAAGATGGGGCTTGCGTTGTGCCACATGAGGCGTTCCACGAAGGGCTTCGCCTTCGAGGATCGAAGGAGTTGGCATCTCTTCCTCGGCAGAAGGCCGTGGAACCTCGGCGGAAGTTGGCGGGAGTAAAACGAGGGCGGCTCTTCCGTCGGAAGCGCGCGGAAGGCCACCGGAAGTAAAGATGCGCCCCAAAGAGATGACAACATTTTGGGGTTCAGGGTTTCCGGGATCGTCCACATAGTATTAAGCTCGGGGGCGGAAAAGAGGGGGGTGATGATTAGGGGGGGGTGGATATCATGGCGGGGGCCATGATATTTCCCCAGATTTCATGGCGCCCCTTCTTATTTCATTACGTCCCTGGCCCCCCCGCTGGGCCGCGCACATGCCGCCTCTTGGACACCCCCCTCTTGGCCGCTCCCGATAAGCCATTTTCTAAGACCCCTGGCTTCGACGAGCCGGAGGCCATTGCGCCACGCCTTGCGATTCATCTGCGCAGACAACGGCAGCCCAAACGTATGAAGTCATTGGTAAGCCAACGACGAGCAGGCAGAGGTGCATGTTGGTTGCACTAGCAGTAAGCACAACCCGCCGTGAGGTTCACACAGTGATGCCCATCGCCGTCGCGCCGACGCCGCGGTCGACGCCCGCGACGTTCCGGGCTTATCCGCGGTTCCCAAGGATCCGGCGGTATGTACTTTTTGGTCCGGGCCTTGTCCCTTGACAGGAAGGCCGCGCCCTCCTCCGCCCTCGTCCTCGACGGGGAGGCTTCGATGGGGAGGCTTCGACGGGCCGCTTGTCCTCGAGGCCCCATCGTGGAGCCCCCCGACCGCTGCCTCTGGGACGGCCGTCCCCCCCCCCTCGCGCCCGCCGCTCCCCCGCCCCTCCCCCGTCGCGCGCCGCCCCGCAGGAGCAGCAGCAGCTGCGGCAGCTCGAGGGCGACGACGGCGACGAGGAGGACATGCGCGACGTGGTGGGCCAGCTGATGAAGGCGCTGCTGGAGGGGCGCCCGACCGTCGAGGAGCCGCCACAGCCAGCGGCGTCGTCCTCGAGCCACCAGGATCGGAGGGGAGAAAAGCGGCGTGAGCAGAAAGATCGGCGGCGAGGCCCGGGGGGAAGTGGGAAAGAGAAGGCCTCCTCAGAAGGCGTGGGGGTTCCTCAAGAGCCATCGGGGCTTCTGAGAAGCTTCCTGCGTCTTCGGGAAGGGCTTCGGAAACTTCGGAACTCCCCGCGGATTTCTTGGGTCGGGGCCAGGGACCCCCCTGGCGGCGCCTCCGGCGCCCCGCCAGGGAATCCGCGCGGACCTCCGAAGTTGCCCCAGCAAAGCACCCTAACAGCAGCAGAGGTGAAGGGGCGCGTCGAGGAGCAGGCGATCCGCGAGGGATCGCGGCCGTCTGTCAGGGGCGGCAGCACGGCCATGTGCACCGTAGTGCAGCTGGCACCGAGGCAAGAGCACGATTCCCACAGAAGGTGTGAGGAAGTCTCGGGCAAAACGGCTACTGGATTGGAGGGGAACCGGGCGCCGTTGGACTCCCCCGTCTTTTGTGCGGGACTCTTCTGAGGTATTGTTTTATCTCCTCCACTCGAACCCTCCAGCAGAATGCTAGTAGGGACAACTGGCATAAACATGACATGTCGGAGCTCCTCGCGGATTTCTCGGGTCTTTGCCAAGACCCCCCATGGCGGCGCCTACGGCCCCGCCACATGAAGTCCACGCGGACTTCCAGAAGTTTATGTTTATGCCGTTTCCTGTTGCTCTGCAGGAGGCCGCCGCGGCGGCTTCGTCGTCGAGCCAGGGCCCCAGCGACTTCTTCGCGACACTGCCGCAGAGGCCCTCCAGCCCGGAGAGGACGGCCCTGAACCAGGCCCAGAAGCTGCACTGGCTCCAGCTGGCGTCCACCGGCGACCCGCTCGCCCTGGACGGCGCGATGGACTGCCTCCTGTGCTCCGAGCCGCTGGTGATACGAGACCGATGTTGCATCACAGCAGCAATTCGGCCCCTGACTTTCGTCCTGGGTTCGGTTTAGTGAAGTGATGAATTTCGGGGTCCTTGCGTGGGAAAAAACATCACTTCACTAATCTGGGGCCCCTGGGGCCTCAGTGGGCCCTGGGGCTCAAAATTAGTGAAGTGATGGTTTTCGGGCCTCGGAGGTGATGGACGCGACGGTGACGACCCCCTGCAAGCACCAGTTCCACCAGCACTGCGTGCGCAGGCTGGAGTCCCCAGAGTGCCCGCTGTGCTCCGCCACGCTGCCCTTCTCGTGGTTCCTGCCCAGCGACCACCCCTGCGCCGAGCACGGCTTTAAGGTTCCGGGCTGGACAGAACCCCCAACAGTGACACGTCGATTAGTGAATTGTCCGTTTTCTGTTCTCGAGAGGGCGCCGTGGCCGTTATTTTCCAGGCCTGCGCCCGCCAGGTTTGGGCTTCAGGTCGTTTTCACTAAACCACGTTTTACTAAAGGGAGGTCTGTCCATCCCCGAAAGGTCGTGACGGCCTGTAGCTACAAGCCGCGGTTCGCCGGAGGCCCCAGCAGGGGCAACTGCGGTTGGCCGCTGCATCGCCCGCCTCCAGCCTCGTTGCACGGGCCGGGTGGAATCACGATGAAGTCCTACCTGCACCGCGGCGTCCCCTTGGGCCCGGAGGAGGAGCTGGAGGAGGAGGAGGACGTCGACGGCAGCCGCAGTCCACAGGCGCCGTGCGCGAGGTCCCCTGCCACGCAGGCCACCGACGAGGGCGACGACGCCAGCAGCCGCAGCTCCTCTTCGGACGAGTCCAGCAGCGAGGACGGGGCGGAGCGGGGCGGCTCTGAGGCTCATGAGGGAAAAATAGGGACAGACACAAATAAACGTCGATGCCCACTCAAATATGGGAAGATGTGGGAGATAGAAGGGGAGATGACAATCCATAAAACATGGAACACTTATCGGGGGTCCTGCTATCTGTGTCTATTGGTTGGTGCCTCCCTGGGCGCCTTCAGAGGTGGGCTGCCGCGACGCCGTGGCCTGCGCCGGCAGGCCGCGGCCGTGGCTCTTCACCGCCTGCGGCAGGATGCGGCCCTGCGAGCTCGGCGACGAGGCGGAGGTGGAGGAACCCGCCGCGGCCGCCGCCAGCGCGGGCGCGGAGCTGCCGCGGGACCCGGAGGAGCAGCGGAACCCAGTGGTGCTGCTCATCGGCTCCCACGTGTGAGCCCTCTGAGGTGGCCCGCCGGCCTCTCCTCAGTATCGTTGAACCGATCCTCGTGCCCATCCCCATCCCGATCTCCACCATCCCACCACCCCACTTGAGGATATGCCCCTCGAAACTCGAAGGGAACAGCCTGTGTCCCTGTATCCCCATCTAGGCGGGTAAACCGGCCAGTGGGGCCCAGGCCACGCCATTGGGGATAGTGATCGGTTAAACGATGCTCATCGCCCCCGCCCTCCTCGCCGCGTCTCCCAGCCATCCCCCCCCATTGTCCTCCTCCTCCTCCTCCTTGCATATCATCCTCCTCCTTGTCCTCCTCCTCCTCCTCCTGCTCCTCCTCCCTCCTTATCGTAGTCCTCATCCCAACAGCGCCGCTCAAACCATTCTGGCTCAGGCGCTTCATTTCGTTGCGATCCTGAGGCGGATCCCCGCGCCTTCACGTCGACGGCTTGAGGGGTGCACGATCCCCTAACACCCTTCGCTAGTAGATTCGTGCAGCGAACCGGGGTGATTCCCGTGATGATGGCAGGCGGCGGTTCAGGTGCCAGGTTTTGGTCGACATGCAAGTCGTGTTCTACATCGGAATGGAATGAGATTATGGAGAGCCGCGGGTGCCAATGCAGTCGATGCCATCGCCCCGTCAAAATGCGTGTCCCGAAGAAGAAACAGGGCAGCGGCGCTCAAGATGGCAGCACCAATGCTCTCCAGCTGGCTGTGGGCGGAGGGGGTCATGGTGCCAGGGGTACGGGCCTAGGCGGCAAGGGCGGCAAGCCAGCCAGTGTGGTCTCTGCCGAGGCCGCCGTCGAGGTTCGTGCAATGTTGTTGCGCGTGATCGGCAATACGTCCGATCCCGTCATCAAGAAGAATATTCTCGAGCAGCTCGAAGCGATGGACCAGTGCGTCGGAAGGGTCTGTTCTGGTATGAGTGCTACCGATGCGGCCAAGAAGGCCGAAAGCATTTGGAAGGACGTGAACATGCGGCACGATCAGGCGATCAGCACTGTGCTCCGATTACGTGAGCAATTGTCCAAGGCGGAGGCCAAGGAGCGGGAGCTTGCCAAGGAGCTCGCGTCGGCCGAGGTGGGCAGGCGGCTCGCGGCCAAGGCGCTTGTGCTCGCAGTCGAGACGGGGGTCGTCCCCGACACGGCGAGCACCTCCGAGGCTGCGCCAGGTCCCACGCAGAGAAGAAGCGGCGGTCCGTGCAGGGCGCAGCGCCAGGAGGTGGAGCTCCAGGAGCTTGTGCAGGCGAGGCAGGCGACGGCAGCGGCCCCAACGGAGGCGAAGCCCCGTTTGTGGCTCAGCCAGCGGCGGCGGCGCTTGGCGGCGAAGGTCAACCTGATTTGGACGAAGCGGCAGCCAGGCTCTCGGACGCCAAGTTCAAGGCCAGGGAGGCGCACCTCGTGGCGACGGTGCCGAGTGGCGAAGGTGCGACGGCGGTGTGAGTTGTCGGTCGGCAGGCCGAGTCTGGCGGCCTGCCGCACACCGGTGGCGCCCAGGCATCGTCGGCGAGTTCGGCGTCTCTTTCGACTGAGCCCCCATGTGACGAGGCGTCTCTTGTTTCGCATCTTTTGTTTGGCACTGTCACTTGTCTCGGCCCTCGGGCTTGGCAGCATCTCACCTCGCCATCTGCGCTTGCCAAATATGATTACTTAGCAGCTGCCGACAGCCATGTCTCTGCCAGTCGTGAGTCGCACTGGGCCACGCAGGGCCGCAAGGCTAAACTTAAGCCGAGTTTTAACGCAGCTAGGCCCAAGCAGGACGGCATCAATGCACGCTCGCACGAGGGAGGGGAAGCTTTCTTTTCTCGCGGACACTTGGCGGTGCATAGAGTCGGGGAACCCAGCGATTTCGGACCCCATATGCGCCAACGAGTGTGAAGCCTTCGATGGTTCCCTCCCCATCACCATTCACTTTAAGGGGTACACAGCCGCGCTCATAATATGTTATGGCAACTGTGGAGGCATCGTCGGAGAGGGAGTTCAGAGGCTCGTCAGATTAGGAGACTCCGTAAAGTCTCTTCGGCTTCCGTGGAGCATTATCGGCGACTTGAACGCTTCACCATCAAGATTAGCCAGTAGTGGTTTCATCGAGCGCGCGCAAAGCGTTGCATGTCAGCCTGCAGTGGAGAGTGCTTGTGTCGCAGGCACAGGTAGTTCGCACATAAACTACGCACTAGCTAGTAGGGCGGCACGTCCGTACATAGGGCGAGTGGAAGCATCTTTAGACGTTCCCTGGGGAACTCACTGCGGGCTCAGTTTGTCTCTTAGGAACGAGGGGGCACAGCTTCTCACGCGGGCCCTTCACGTGCCTCACAAGCCCCCATCGGGCCTCACGGCCGAGCAGGCTTCCGCAGGCCCAGGGCAAGTCGCAGCGGGCCAAGAGAGCCCGTCAGGAAGCGCGCGAGTTGTCCCAGGCCAAATTCCGGTGATTTGTTGAGCGCCGAGAGCGCTGAAGACCCTTCGGGCCCCCAGGGTTCGAGCTCCGATCCCGGGGGAACCGATCCCTTTAACTTTGACTGCGCCGACGATTTTAAAGAGGAGCCTGATCCATGGGCTCAAGAGTCGGAGTTCGCAAATTGCGTCGTTGTGCCCGAGCCCGAGCCCGCGGTTGCAAATGGGCCTGCCGCCCAGGATGAGGCCCCCGCACCCCCCGGGGGTAGTGGCAGCACTGTAGGCTGCCCCGCCCATTCCCAATCTCGATCCTTCCACGTCCCAGCAGAGGCGTGGCATAGGCACAAAGATGGGGTCGGAGTTTTTGGCTAGTACTGAAAGTGGTGCTGGGGAAGTGATCCGTTCGTCGCTGGCGCGCTCCACGGTTGGCCCTCACGTTCTAGCTGTCAGCGGCATGTTCCCCACTTGGGTCAGCATTGCAGAAGCAGCTGTTCAGGGCCACCCTGATCAGGCAGCAGCAGGCAGAGGGCGAGCTGCCGGGCCTCGCTTGACCGTCGAGGTTGCGCAGCGCGCGGAGCACTTGCGAATGCAGCCGTTATCGGATGCAATTGCTTGATGGCGGGCACGGCTTCGCAGTGCGCGAGTTCGTTGGGCGCGTCATAGGCAGAGGCAACGCAGAGTTGAACCGGTTTTCCAAATGGCAGATACTTGTCGCGCCTTTGTTGGCGATGTTCCTGAAGGGGCCCCACTGCTTATCTCAAGTGCGCTGGGGGCACCTCTGTGGAGTCAGTGGTTCGATTATTTGGGGCACGCGGAGTCTTGGGATTTACGTCTTTTGGAGAAGCCCAGGGGCCTGGCCCGCAAGGCCTCCAAGCCGCGCACGCTTCGCTTGTAGCAGTTCCAGGATTGGATGATTGAGGAGTCGCCGATTGGCGTTATCCACAAGCCCCTCGGGGAGATTCCCAGGCCCCTGAAGATCTCATCGTTGGTGCGACTATGCTGTGCAATCCGGGAGATCTGGTCGACGCCAAAGTTGAAGGTTGGCACAGTCTATGGCGAGCTGGTGATTTAGATCTGGACGAGCTCGACGCACTTTGCTGCCAGGTGCGCGTGGCCGCGTCTTTCAACCAGATGCCGCCGTTGACTAACGAAGACATCCGAGGGGCACTCAAGCGCGCGAAAGCACGCGCTGGCATGGGAATCGATCGACCTTCGCCGCTTGATTCCGAACGTCTACCCGAGTGCGCGATCACCGATCCCGTCAGCATGTTCACCGCCATCGACGAATCATTGACTTGGCCCTGGCAGCCCTGGCTCGTCATCGGGCGATTGTTGGCCAATCACAGCAGGGTCATGGGCATCGAATTGGCGGCGATGTTGCGTAGAGTTTGCAGCGTAGCTCGCGAGCCTCACGCAGAAGAGTGGACATCGGAGACCCCCCCCCCCCCCACCCCCCCCCCCCCCCCCCCCCCCCCCCCCCCCCCCCCCCCCCCCCCACCACCCCCCACCACCCCCGCGTGGGATGCGGCAGTTGCTGGCAACAGTGTTTTGAGACAGGCTTTCGCTCGTGTGCATGATTGTGAGCTGGCAGTCAAGATAGGTGGCACGGCTGGTACAGCTATTCTAGATATCAAGAGCCTCTATGACCAGATTCGCTGGCCGAAGCTGATCAGCGCCGCCCTCCGTCTCAATTTCCCCCCTGCCCCCTTGTTCCTCGAACTTCAAGTTTGCCTCGCTCTTCGTGTGCGCTCCCAAATTGGGGCTTATTCGGAATGCTGTCAAACATGTCGTATCGCGCAGGGGCTTCGTAATTGCACACGGCTCGCACGTTGCATGGCATTATGCGCTGCAGAAGCTTGCCATCGACAACCCGAGTATGAGCGAGCGCATGCGCATATGGATTGACGGTTCGAGCACGTCGGCAGCGGGGTCTCAGAGGCAGGCACAGATTGAAGTCGCCTCCAGCGTTTCGTCCGCAGCGGAAGCTTTCAAGGAGCACGGCTTCCAGCTCGCTTCCAAGAGCGCCATCCTTTGCTCTTCGCGCGTCGCCGCCAAGGCAGTTGTGAAGCAGTTGAAACTTAATGGTATCGAGGTCCAGCCCACCTGGCGGGCATCGCATTAACGGTCGACCAAGGAATGGGTAAGATATAGGCTAGGAAGACGACGGGGGTAAAGGGTTGTTAAAGGGGGCGCGCAAAATCAAAAGCTTCGACGGTTCGCACCTGCATCCAGACGATCTCATGTTCGTAAGCGCGTTGAGCTTGCTGGACCTCGGGCCGCATCTACATGCGGCATGCAGGTGCGCGGGGCATTAGGCATTCAGCTTCTAGCCTTGCGGCGTCGCCTCGGTTCGGTCGCAGGTGCATCTGAGACAGGTCGCTGTTTGACGTCGTTACTTGATATTCGTGCCCCTGGGCGAGATCCTGGCATCAGGCTTCCTGGGGCAAGTGTGAAAGAGTGGGTGGGATTTTGACTAATGCATTTTATTTTCGGGCAGGTATTCGGCGGGTTTGGCCTGCCACGGCCGAGAAGTTTAAGTCCTTGAAATTCTCTGATGTTGCACGCCGCGTACGTTGACCTTTGAGCGCGGCAGTTGCCAGCTTGCTTCGTGCGGGCTGGGGCCCAGTCGCCCCAGACACTTGGCGGGTTCCTGAGGCTAACGATATAATCTACTTCGATTGGCAATTTAACGAGTCGCTCGAATCGATAGATCAGGCCCAGGACATGTCGAACGATTTTGCGCCCGCCAACGCCAGCCGCCTCGTGGAAGGAGGCGGCCCGGCATTTTTGCGGCAAGGGGGCTCGCAGGCGGGGCAGATAATCGATCTTCAGAGCTCTCTTGCAA